CGTCTTGCACTCCGCATCTGTGTCCTTAGCAGCGTTTTCTGTGGATGTCTGAGTGCGTGTATGTGTGTGTGTATTTGGGGCCGGGCGCTGAGAACAAACGCGCATCTGTTAAATTGGACAATAAAGTCCTACAGCGAAGCTGCTAAGATTGGGGTGGTGGGTGGGGGAGGAAGGCAGAGGGGGTAGAGGAGAGCTGGAGTTTCAAAAGACGACGCCAAAGCGCCTGGGCCAGGTATTATGTCGGGGGAAGGTGAGGAGAGCAGCTGCTCCTTCTCGCGGGGTGTGTATGGGAGCGAGGGTGCGTGTGTCCCTGTGAAGAGTACACACCGATCTGTTCAACATATGTCGCCGCAAATCACAGTATCTCTCCCTCCTCCCACTCCCCACTCCTGGCGCAGCTCCTGACCGAGGGCAGAACAGAGAGGCGCTGAGAAGAGGCGCCGCTTCAACAGGTGTCTCCGAGCGCAATGCACCTTTTCACGCATTCACTGTCTCAGGCGGCGACACGAATAATGTGGATACTTTGTTCCCAGGCGATGCGCGCGAGCTGTGGCCGCCCGGGGGAGGCGACCCTGGACAGGGAGGGGAAATCTGTAAATAAAGACTTCAGGCGCTCCTGAGGGCCCTGGCCCTCTCCTCCTTTTGTTCGCAGACTCCCTGGGCCAGAGCTCCCTCGTGCGCCCTGGGGGGTGGCATATGGTGCCCTCTCACCTACCCAAGAAAAAGAACCAGCCACCCATTCAAGAGCGCACGAGGTCCCTGGGCCCGGGGTGGGGGTGTCTCTGAGGGAATGGCCTCTCTCCCAAAGCGGATGAGAAGCCCGCCTTATCTCTCCGCACCCCACCCCTGCCACCTCCTCAGCTGGCGCAGCAGCCGTTGGGTGGGGAGCAGTGCGCTGGGCAGCACCAGCCTGCGGAAGCGCCCCAGCTCCCGGCAGATGAAATATGGGGCTGGTGAGCCCTTGGAGACCATATGCTTTCAATAAAAGAAGACAAATAGGACCGAGATAGGCCTTGCAGCCAACCTGTTATAAATGGGTGGCAATTGGGCCAATGTACACTGAAGCAGGGCCCCCGGGGGGAGGCCTGCTTGGTGCCAAATCCATGTGTCAGCTTCTGGGACAGGTGTGCCCAGGGGCCAGGGGCCAGGTCTCCCCCCTCGGGGTTTATCACGGCAAAGGTAATATTGTGCTAACTATGAGTAAACAGTCATTGTGAAAACGAGGGAGAATTTATCAGAGGCGAACTAGTTGGGGGGTGGCTTAACAATAAAGTTGCCCGCCTTGGGAGCAGGTGATGGCTGGCTGTGCTGACTCCCGCGGTAGATGTTTTCCAAAGCACTCCACTTTACAATCTCTTGTAATTATTTATTAAACGAAATCTATTTATTATTATTTTAGCAAACACTGGAGACAGGTGGGGCTTTCTCTTCATCGTCTCCTTTTGTTTGAAGGGCTGTTTGAAGTGGCCAGTCTCGGCCTGGGCAGCTCGCTCGCCAGATTTTTGTCTTCCCCTCTTTCAGTGCCGAGGCGAAGGCAAGAGAAAGAAGCCCCCTCCTCTGGCAAGCCATTAGCTATTCAGCTTCCCATGGCCCCCTTCCTCCCCGCTCGATTCTCAAAGAGCCCCCATGCACGGCGAGGGTTCCCCCCGCCAACAGGAAGGCGGCGGAGCCGGCCGCTGCCTTCCTTCTTTTCCAGTCTGTCCGCGGTCTCCAGGAGTCTGACTGTCGCCTCTCTCCTGGGCCCCCACAGCCTCTGGGCAAACTTAGATCTCAGAGGGTCGCAGGACACGGGCGTCCCAGAGGCCCCAGAGGCAGAGACTGGCCCGGGGCTGCAAGAATAGGATCTGCTCCCGGAAGGAAGAACCGTTTCACAAACACCCACTAGAGCGCACGGTGTCCTCACCGCCTGCGCCTCCAAGGACAAAGGCACCGGGATTAACTTTGGAGAGGGGTCTGCGCGTCCCCTGCAGCTGAGAGGGAAGGCATGGATCCTCGATCTCTAACCTCCCCGGGCTCTTCGACCTCCATCCCTGCCCTCCTGGCCAGAAGCACAGGGAGTTCTGGCATTCAGTGACCAGCCGGCTGCTCCCCGCCGCTGTGCGCTCCTTGCCCTGGCTGCTTTTTGCGCATAGCAAGAGTGGTGGTAGCCTGCAAGCCCCGGAGAGCCGTGAGATGGAGATGCTCTGGGGAGGCTAGAGAAGAATTCCAAGCAGATCCCAGGGTTCTCTCCCCTCCAAGAAGTCCCCAAGAATCCCCAGAATGTTCTCTGCCACAGAAAGCTCTGGCTGCGGCTCTGCCACCACCCATTAGCAGCTCAGGGCAGGCCCCAGCCAGGGCGAGCTTTTCCCTCGCTCTCCATCTAGGTTTACCACAGGTCAAGAGTCCTGGATATGGGATGCTCTTCAGGCTACCAGGCAACCATACCCGCAATAGGATCCCTCATGACCAAGGCGCGCTCCACGGAGCCCACCAGGGTCCGGTGGCCCTAGGGAAGCACGCTTTGGAATTCCCCTTCCAGTTCCCAATTCACACCGGTATAAGTGAAGCAAGACCAGAGCATGGGGCAGGGAAGTCGGGAAATGGGGCTTGAATGGACGCTGGCTCCCCTCGGCGCAGGGGTATGGGGTTACTATGCCTTTTCTAATCTGGCCCAGTTATCCTTCACAGACCCCAGACTTAGCCTATTTTCTATATTTGGGGGTCTCTGGTCTTGTCTTCAGAAAATATTTTCTCTGTAATCAAGGAGAGGAAGCGGCTACAGGAGAGTATCTATACCAAGAGTCTTGGGACCTGAGTTCGATGTGGTCTGACAGAGCTTGCTATGTGACTTTGGTGAGTCATTTCTCCTCTCTGGGCCTTGACTGTTTTGTCTGTAAAATGGGCCTCAGGTTCCCATTCTTAAGACTAGAAGGCAGATATGGAGCAAGAAATGACCCAAGGGAAGAGCCGCAGCAAAGATGCAGTCCCAAAAGTGCTGGTAGGGTCTCTTTGTTGGTCTTGACCCTGACCTCAGGCTGTGGTTCCCTCCACTCTCTGCGCCCCCACCGCAGTTCTAGAGCCCCCTCTCTCTAGCTCCCACGCACATCCACTCTTTGCTTTGAAGTTAATTTCGCCCCCGACCCCCCAAGCAGCCTGGGCAACGAACCGCCACTAGGGCGGACATGCTGACCTACCTCATCCCCTCATTCCATCTCCTCAGTCTCCCAGCTGGGTCTTACCCCTCCGCTGCTTCCAGGAGGCTTAGGGTTTCTGGGCTCGTTAGAAAACGATGTCTACCGGCCGCCGGAGGCTTAGCCCGGGCCCCAGTCATTCCGACCTCGGCTTCCTCCTCCGCGCACTTCGCGGGCAAGAGAGACGAGCGGAAGCCGCGACCCCTCACCCTGAGTGACCGGAAGCAGAAGACCACGGGGTGTCCGAGGCGGGGACAAGAGGGAGGGGCGGGGAAAAAAGGAGGAAAGATGGGTTCAGAATCACTTTGGGAAGACCTAATGGGGCAAACGGAGGGCCCTGTGCACCCCGCACGCTAAAGCCAAGGCGGGGGGCTGGACCAGGTGGCCGCCGCAGCCCCTGCCTGCCTGTGATTGGACAGAAGGGCTAAGGGGAAAAAGAGTTGATCTGCTCCCCGCAGCACCAGCACACCGTGGGCCTTCAAAAAACACAGCCCAGGCGGCTGCCTCCAACTCTCCTCTGGCTCGCTGCGCACTCCTGGCCCTCTCCTGACCCCCTCACCCCTCCCGGACCACTCTCCATCCCAGGCCCTGGCCAGGATGCTAGGGTACTGTCCACGCGTGGTGGCGGAGGAAAGTCCCCTCGAAGCCCCCACCACAGCCACTTTCCGCCTCTGAGGAAGAATCAGAACGTCTCAGGTTGAGGAGGGGATCCAAGTGCCCCTATCTGGGGGTGTTTGGGGTGGCATCTGAGAGCGAAGCTGGGGCTCAGACACCCCCCAGGCGAAGGTCTCTGAGTGGAATGGACATAGGAAAGGTTTCTCTCTGTGGCCGTCGGCTTCCTTCCCAGCAGGAGCTGGTTAGTGAAACACCACCCCTAGGTGTGTCTCTTAACCTGACCCGCAGCGCTGGAGCGCAGGGCGGCAGCCGCGCAGTGAACGCTGCTCCAAGCTGGTAGTCAGGACCCCTGGCTCCTTGTTCCATTTCTGCCAAGACTTCACGGTGCGATTTGGGACAAGCCTTCTCCCTGTCGGAGCCTAAATTTTCCCGTGTATAACACGTGGGGGATTGGCCTCCCCTACAGGCTTCCTGAAGCCCTCACCAGTGTACCAAGAGATGGTCTGAGCAGACGCAAAAGAGAGAGAGAATAGGAGCAAAGCGCTCTGGGCGGCCAGATGCGAGCCAGACGCGATTTTGCGCCTGGGCGAGGTTCTTTGAGGAACCGAGAGTTGCTGGGACAGAGCCCGCGGGGAGAGAGCAAACAGAGCGCGCTCCCCTCCCCCGACCCGGGCCCTTTGTCCGGAATCCAGCTGTGCCCCGCGGGGGAGGAGGGGGCTCGCGTGGCGCGGCCCTGGGGCCCGGGCGCTGATTGGCCAGTGGCGCGGGCAGCAGCCGGGCAGGCACGCTCCTGGCCCCAGCCGAGCAGATTAAAGCGTGCCAAGGGGCACACGAATTGCAGCTCAGAAAATCCCCGCGGTCTCACAGCCGCGCGGAGAGAGACAGACAGGGCCGGTGCCACGCAGGCTTCGCGCTTCTCCTCTGCTCCCCGGGCTGGGGAAACTCCCAGACGGCAGCGCCTGCAGCTCAGCTCAACCTGCGGGCAGGAAGGCCAGCTCAGCCCTCGCTGCTCACCTTTCTGTGCCGTTTTCCGCCTGGCAAACCAGGTAACTCTCTTTCGGCACTCAGAGGCTGCAGAGGGACAGGCGGGAGGGGGTCCTCTGACCCGGCGGGGTGGCTCTTCCTCGTTTTTTTTCCCCCCACCTGGTCCGGGCATGGGAGGCTGCGCCCAGGTGACTGATAGACGCTTACCGGTCCCTCTTACACCACCGCAGGATGGCGCCTCATCCCTCAGGTGCGCCTGCTAACCAAGTGACCTGCCACACCGAGCGGTCCTTCCCGAGAGCCTCGGACGACGAAGTGACCTGTGCCGCGTCTGCCCCGCCCAGCCCCACTCACTTGCCCCCAGACTGCGCCGAGGCCCCAGGGGGCGGCTGTCGAGGGGCGGCGAGGAAGCTCCGCACTCGGCACGGGGGACGCAGCCGGCCCAAGAGTGAGTTAGCGCTGAGCAGGCAGCGACGGAGCCGGCGCAAGAAGGCCAACGACCGCGAGCGCAATCGGATGCACAACCTCAACTCCGCGCTGGACGCTCTGCGCGGCGTCCTGCCCACCTTCCCGGACGACGCGAAGCTCACTAAGATCGAGACGCTGCGCTTCGCGCACAACTACATCTGGGCGCTGACGCAAACACTGCGCCTAGCAGACCACAGTCTCTACGGGCTAGAGCAACCGGCGCCGCCTTGTGCGGAGCTAGGCAGCCCAGACGGCGGCTCCCCCGGGGATTGGGGCTCCCTGTACTCCCCCGTCTCTCACGCGGGCAGCCTGAGTCCCGCTGCCTCGCTGGAGGAGCTGCCCGGGCTACTGGGGCCCGGCTCCCCAGCCTGCCTGCGCCCGGGCCCCCTGGCCTTCTCAGACTTTCTGTGAAGAGGCCCGTCGGCCGCCCAGAGGTGGGGGTGCTGGGGCGGGGGGGCGGGGGACGGCCGGGGCGGGGGGCGGCTGTCAAGCACAAGTGCTCCTCCTGGCTCTCGCTTGCCGACCCCTAGAGGCCCCCACGCCCGCGGGGGTGGTGGACCGGGTTCAATCCCCAGCCCTCCGAGGCGCGCCAACTCCTGCAATCCTCTACCTCTTTCCGCCCGAAGTGGGCACTGCAGGCTGCACGCGTTTTACTCCGCTTTCTGGGGCCACCCCAAAATCTCGTGCAACAAGGAATGGTAGCACTACACAGCCGGAGACGTCTACCGTCTCCGGAAGCCCTACCCACACACTCCAGTCACTGTCTGTCTGTCTACCTGTCCGTCTGTCTGTTACCACGCTTCCCTCGATATGATTTAATCCAGTGATCTCAGCGCTTGTTCCTCTCGCCCAGCGTCTCTTCTCCAAAGACGCCGCTGCCCTTCTTCTCCTATCGAGTCCCGAGTTTCAGGCCACTCCACTCGGCCTTAATCCAAGAAGGCGACCCTTTGCCTTCTTGTGCACTTTTCCGAGCCATGGCCCTTCCGGGCGGGGGCGAGGCTGTGAACTCCGAACTCGAGATCCCCGCGCGAGCAGCTCTTCCCTCACCGGCGTGCGTCCTGAGCCTGAAACGTGAGCTGCGCCACCCAGGCTTGTAGCGCTGCGCATCTTTTGGAAAAATCACATTGAGAATTATATGATGTCCTTTGAAATGAATTTTAGTATGGTAAATTATATAGCCCTTTCCCCTGTTTTACACGTTTGTATTTATTAATGAGATTTCACCGCGGGAAAAGCCTATATTTTGTACATAAGATTATTTAGGGACTGGTGAATGAGATTTTAAGCCAATTAAAAAAAAAAAAAAGGACCCTCTGGAAGGGTGAGCAAGATGACTTGATCTTATGGCGGGGAGAGGTAGGCCGCAGCCACCGCCTCTGAGGCAAGAAGGGGCACCTCTGTCCTAAGAGAGGGGACACGACTCTTTCTGGGGGTTCAGGAAACCTCTCCCGGGTCTGGGCTGGATGCCAGGCGGGTTGTGCGTTCTGAGGGCAAGTGAGCCATACGTGCCTAAAAAGTCATAGCTGGGCTGCTGCTTAGAAATCATTGGTCCAGTCTCCATGTTTTATTTATAGGGCAGCGACTTGTCTTAATTCACATAGTGGTTTTAGAAGAAAGACAAGCGTCGAACTAGGGCTACTCATTCCTGCTGCTGGCCCTTCTCTACCCCACCAGCTTGGATATGGAGCGACTGCTAAATTTGGAGAAGAGAATAATAACCCGGCCTCAGTATCGGAGCTCTGAAGCTCCGCCGCCGGGCTGGGCATCCGAGGAATTTCCTCGAAAGTTCTTAGAGGCCTAGAGCATCCCCTGAGCGCATTTTACGCACTCGAGCTGGGTGGCGGCGTCTTGACTCGCTGGAGCCGAGCGACAGAGAGCAGAGAAAGCGGTGGGTCGGGCTGGAATCTCTGGCGCCCCCGGCCCCAAACAACCTTGATTATCAAGAAACTGTTCCAGGTTTCCAGCCACAGGTTCTGTCTTACTCCCAAGATGGTCCATCTCGGGTTCGGAAGTCTGTTTCAGGGGCGCGGGTGGAGCATCCGTACATGACTTCCGGAACCCCGAAGACCTCAGGGAAGCCGGTCGGAACTGTAAGAATCTGCAGATTCAGCCTGTGGCTCGGGAACAGGAAAATAGAAGGCGGGTTTCCTACCTGAGAGTTGAACCTCAGAGGCTTCCTTGGGTTGACGGGGAGTACCCCTGGAAAAAGCCTGCCGACCCTTATGGGTCGCCGCGCGGCCAGAGGCCGGGAGCGGGTGGGTAGATGCGTGGTAATCCAGCGCGTTAGTGTGCCAAAGTGGGGGCTTCGCAGGGTTAATACCTCTTGCGTCTCTCTTCTGAGCCCTCCCCGCTTCAAAATGAACTTTTCCTCTCTTTCCTCTGCTCCCAGGTCGCTAAAGGTAGCTTGGAAGAGATACGTCTCAGTTATCTGGGGCCGGATTTAGGGGCAGGAAGGGGGACGCTGCAAACAAACGAATGAAAGGAGGCGTTGTTTCATTTCGTGGGCTTTAATCTGGGAGGAGGAGATTAATGGGTTATTGGTGACCTCTGCAGCAGCCAGCTTTCCAGCTGGGGCACCGCCCGGAGGCAGGTGTCAGCAGCTCCGAGTTGCAATATATACATACACACACACACACACACACACACACAAAAACCCGTTGCAGTCGAGTGGATTCCGACCCATAGTTAGTTGCCTTGAGTTGATTCCGACTCACGGCGACCCCATGTGTTACAAAGTAGAACTGCTCCATAGGGTTTTCTTGGCTGTAATCTTAACGGAAGCAGGTCGTCAGGCCTTTTCTTCTGCAGTACCTCTGATTGGGTTCGAACCTTCAACCTTAAACCTTAAGTCTTGCCTCAAAGCCAACTCCTTCCAGCAAGCCGCTCCGCAATCTGGATTGGGGAGCTGCTTGCCAGAGGAAAGGGCGTTTGAGCCAGGACTTAAGGTTTGGAGACGAATTTCTCAAGCGAAAAGATCATTCTCCCGTGAAAGGCAGTGGGAGGTAGTGTTCATCTAGGCGAGGGGATCTCTTGGTGCAAAGGACCCCCTGAAACTGGAGCAGTGTCTGTGCGCTCTGCTTTCAGGTGGCGGCTGCCAGGGAGCTGCGGCTGCACCCACTGCCCAGTCCCTCTCCTGCTTTGCAGGGCGCTCATTAAGGAGCCATTAGTCATCCAACGCACACAGATGGTCCTCCACCCCACGAATTAAAAAAGATTAAAAAAAAAAAACCCCAACCCGCGTACGGTTTAACCAACTCAGCTGCTGGGCTGCCACCGGGAAGGAGTGGCGTATTTGACCCGGAACTGTCGACCCTGCTCTCCAAGTGAGGAGGAGTCTGAAGAAGGCTTAGAGTTTGGTCGAATCGCTGCAAAATTTGGGGCTCCGGTGCTGGTGGAGCTCCATCCGTGTGTGTGGAATCTCGTTGAGGTGGGAAACCTCGTCCATGCGTCTTTCCAAAGATGATCACCTCAGCAAGAAGGGCTCGGAAACATTTCTGTGAGTTGCGCGTCCAACTAGCCCAGCGTTACCACCACCTCGGCTCCCGTCCCCCTCCCTGCCAGCATTTTGCGTTCAACGCTTTTTAAAACCAGTCCGGCTGTAGGCTGTCTCCACTGGAAGCCCGCCCCCTGCCCCCTCCGCCAGCGCTCGTTTGCTAGCAGAGTCCCCGAGGTCTGAGGTCACCTCCTGCGCCCCAGGTTCCTGAAACTGGGTCAGGGTTCCAAGCAGGGGCAGGAAAGACCCTTGGGTCGGATGACTCTTCCTTCTTCAGCCTTTGTCTGAGCCCAAGCCTGGCTTCCAGAAAAGCAGCACATGAATCTTGCACCACCACCCCCTAGCTCCGGTCTGCACACACAGGCAGGTAGATTTATGGTGCCCTGCCCCCATTCCACCCCATCCCCCAGCCGGCCGAGTGGGAAGACAAAGCATCCCGGGGCCATTGGAATGCTAATGTCTGGGAGCCGGGCGGCTGGGCTGGCACAAAGGCAGGCGGGGCAGGGGGCGCACGCGACCCCACAGTCGCAGCCTTCCCCTCCTCTCCCCAACCCGGCACTCGACAGGCTGTGCGACCTTGGACAAGTCTCCGAGTTTTAGTTTATTCACTGGAGAGGCTGAAGGGAGTCCATAACACCTTTTCATTGGATCTCTGGGCGCCAAGGGAAGTCGTGTTTGCGGTGTACTGAGTTACTGCCCACCACTACCGGAAGCGGCGCAAAGACCCTTCAGGCCTTGGTACTGGGGCAGTGGGAGAGGGCGTCTGAGGGATTCGGCTGAAAATGTGGCTCAGCATAAGCGCTGGGTAGATGGTAATTATACATTTTTACATAATGTAATATTCTTGGTTGTGTTCCCCCCCCTTTTTAAATTCTTGCCGATAGTGCCCAAGAAAAAGGGGTGGGGGTCACTGGCTAAGCTTACCTGCCTGCCCCACCTTCACAGGACCATGAACACAGAGACTTGCAGCTGGGCGCCTCTTATCTCACCTACCCTCAAAGAGCCAGTGAGATAGGCAAGGCAGGGGTGATTGCATGCACGCAACCGGAGACCCAAAGCCCTAGGGTGCCTTGCCCAAGGCCCTCAGTCACCCGGTGAGTTATTGGAGCAAGCTAGAACTGAGGCCTCAGCTCTAGAATAGCAGTTTGGAACCCTTTTTTCTGTGTCCATAGACAGGAGTGTCGGGGATAGCGAATTAGTCTGCAGTTGTGTGTGCATTGGCTCTAGTCCTGTCCTTGGGGTCTTGTAAGGCCAAGAGGCTCCCCTACGCTTTGACCGCGCCCCTCCCCCCCCCCGGTCCCCTGTCGAGGTTTCGGGCTTCTGTCTGCCCCCTCCGCTTCCAGAATCCAAGGGCCAGGCGGACTGGAGCCGGCCCCTGCCTGGCTACTGAATCTGCGATTCCTCTGCGGTACTGAAAGGCAAGGGTGCGCCTCTGACCATGGTGCTGAAATGCCAGCGCTGCTCCAGCGCGAGAGACGCTCCTGGGAACGTGGCGTTCTCAACCCGGAAAAGTACCTGTCAACCCCCTCTGCCCAGGTTTCCAGGCCAGATGCCCTAGGGAGGTCCCCGTGGACATGCAGACCCAGAGGACGCTCAGATTTCCCTTGTGTAGTGGGGGAAAATATGGCTCTGCTGCTACCCACTAAGTTACCAGAGCAAAGCCCTGTTCTCTCGCTGGACCTCAGAGCCTTCGCTTGTAAATGATGCGGCTGAGAGACAGAGACCCGTTTAGGAGTTTCATGAGAGCGTATGAGAGGTCTGAGGTGGAAAAACGTTGAAAGTTTAGACTGGGGCAGCTCTGGCTTGGGAGAACTAGTTTGGAACTTTGCCCTCAGCAGGGACCTCATTCTTAGGGTTACCATAAAGTTTTAGTTATTCTAAGAACAAGGGCGAAAAGAAATCTTCCAAATGTATATAC